AGCGAGCGAAGACAGTTCATGCCTTAGACCGCTCGGCTACCGTGACCGCCAGAGAAGAAGATATACCCAATGATATATAAAAGGTGGAATGGAGATGACATGTCATTTCTCTTAAGTATTTTAGAATATAAATAACATATGCATAGATAATAAATATAATATAATATATGGAGTGTGTAATGCTGTCAAGGTAAGTTGTTCAGGCTAATGGGTATGACACTTTAGAATCCTCAGTGCTATTTAATTAATATGGGATAATCAATAAAAATTGTGACTGAATGAGGAGCCACAAATGGTTAAGTTAGTACAAATATAACAACCGTTTCTGTCAGGGTATGAACCAGGAAAAGGTTCATAATTCAATTAATATCAATTCTTTATTAGTGTGTTTACCCACAGTGCAATGGCACATTAAAGCAAGGAGAAAAACAGAACAAACATGTACACAAAAAGAAAAGAGGAAACAACGCAGTATGCATCATTTAGACAACAACCATTCAATTAGAGCAACCACGTCAACCACAATGATGTGGGAAAAAGCATATATACATGAACATTGATCTTGAATGCAATTAAAATTCTATCAAATTCTATTTCATTCTTTTCTTATTTACATTCTTATTCGGTAGCCCAAAGGTCAATATTATAAAGCAAGCATGAGTAAAAAGACAAACAAAACAAACATGTACACATAGAAGAGACAAAAAAACAATGGGTAAAATTTAGACACTAACCATTCAATCAGTGCAACCATGCCAGGCATAATGCAGTGCGAAAAAACATACGCACGCACACACACACACACACACACAGTAATCTTGAGTACAATTAATATTAACAGCTTTTCATAATACATATTATCTTTGCTACTAATATTATTAGCACTACTGGCATTAAAACTACTGCAGCTGCTTCTGCTATCACTATTGTTGCTATAGTTTCTACTACTGATACTACCACTACCACCATCACTACTACTATGGATACTGCTATTAACACTTGGAATTTCAGAATTTGATGATTCTTCATAAGAAAAACAACCTGGCTGCTTGTTTTGTCTTCCTGATCATCACATAAGCCTCAAAATCTCAGAGTTTAATAAAATATGGATACCTTTTCCCGCATTAGGAGATCAAGTGGAGGTCTCTGTTTCGTGCCTCTACTTTCCTTGCTGACTTTCGCCACCAGGATCAGATTTTCTTTTGTCACATTGTATAATGCCAGGGTGCAGGAGGTCTGCAACACAACACAGCACATTTCATGTGTTTTTAAGTAGCAGAGGAACTACATAGGGAATGCCGTGCTGACTGCTGTTGAACTCACCGCTGCCACCACTTCCTATGCTGGCCGTGGGTGAGAAAGTCTCATGCTTACTGTACACCTAGAGTGCGGGTCAAGATATATATGTCATGGCACAACTAACCTTGCTTGGGGTGTAGAGGGACCTTCCTACATTTTATTGCCGACGCTACTGCTTAGCAACTCGGTGTTTTATCTCCTGGGTGTCAGATTTTGCTGTCATGACCTGGTGAGTCTGCCTCACTTCCAGCTAGTTCCAAGGTCAAGAATATATGGATCTGAATGTCCACTCCACCATACGCCGTCATGGCGTAGTGCTTAATTAGTTAAGCACAGGGACAAATTTAGCTTTGCTGTAAACATTATACATTTATATAGTAATTCCGTTTATGTTGCGACGATAACGAATATTCGGTGTCTATTTTTTGTGTCGATTGTTACCTTTCATACAAATATTTTGATAGAATTTATTTATATTCTTTACGTCAACGTTGATTTTGTCAAAAAGCTAGACTTCATTGTGATTAATATTGATTTTCAATTGATTCACTTAGCAGTCACCTCACCCGTTCATATTAATCTGACCTTGACAATTATTCATATACTCGTATATACGGCCATTGGTACTACCGGAATAGATGGAATTGCTGTTGATTATTAATGTGAATTTTGATGTAATAGTTCAAGTAATGAATAGAATTTTGCACTCGTCAGACATTGGAATGGAAATAGGAGTACAATGAGAGAGTACATCAGCTATTTGCAGACTTCAAGAAAGCCTTTGATTCAGTTTCGAAGGAAGTATTGTACAGTATTCTCATAGAGTTTGGGGTATTTATTCATGAAACTAGTTAAGTTGATTAAAATATGTTCAAATTTAACTTATAGTACAGTCCACATAGGTAAACGCGTGCCTGATTATTTTCCTACCCAAAGTGGTCTAAAACAAGGAGATGTTTATGGATATAGCTTTTCAAATTTGCTTTAGAATATGCCATTAGGAAGGTTCAGGAAAAACAGGTGGGACTGGCATTAAATGGGGCACATCAACTTCTAGTTTATGCTGATGATGTGAATCTATTGGGAGATAATATAGACATCATAGAGAAAAACACAGAAACTTTAATTGATGCTAGTATGGAGTTTGGTCTAGAATGAAAGGCAGAGAAAACGAAATATAAGTTGCTGTCTCGTCACCAGAATGCAGGGAAAAATCATGACATAAAGACAGCTACGAGACTCTTTGAAACTGTGACACAGTTAAAATATTTAGGAACTGCAGTAACAATTCAAAATTTGATTTGAGAGGAAATTAAGAGGACATTGAACTCGGGTAACGCTTGCTACCATTCAGTTCAGAACCTTTTGTCTTCTCGTCTGCTGTCTAAAAACGTAAAACTTAAAATATACAAAACAATATTTTCGCCTGTGGTTCTGTTTGGGTGTGAAATTTGGTGTATGACATTAAGGAAGGAACATAACCTGAGGGTTTTTTGAAAAGAGGGTGCTGAAGAGAGATGAAGTGACAGGAGTTTGGAGAAAACTGCACAACGAGGAGCTTCATAACTTGTAATTTTCATCAAATTTAATTAGAATGATGAAGTCAAGGAGGTTGGGATTGGCACAGTATGTAGCACGAGCAGAGGAGAAAAATGCATATTGGATTTTGGTGGGAAGGCCAGAATGACAGAGACTACTAGGAAGACCAAGACGTAGACTGGTGGATAACATTACAATGGTTCTTAGAGTTATAGAATGGGGTGATGTGGCTTAGTATAGGGACCAGTGGTGGGCTCTTGTGAACATGGTAATGAGCCTTCGGGTTCAACAACATATTTGGAATTTCTTGAGTAGCTGCACAACTGGCGGCTTCTCAAGAAGAGCTCAGCTCCATGAAGTTTGTTAGTACCGCCGGCATAGTGTTGCCTAATCCTCGTCTTAAATCAACGTTTATTATAAGCAATTTACTTACATACTCTATTTTTCTTATAACTGTGGAACAATATATTTTAATTACCGTATTTACGCATGTATAGGCCGCGTGCGTGTATAGGCCGCAGCACAATTTTCAGACAGAAATTATAGAAAAAATAATTTTCTTGGAATATTATTTCAGAAGCAGAAATTATTCCGAAATTTGGCAAATATATTTTTTTTTTAATGAAGTGTGATTTCGAATATTTCGAATATAAGCCGCACCCCAGTTTTCCTCTTGAATTTTTGGCAAAAAATGTGCGGCCTATACATGCGTAAATACGGTACTTCTGGATTGACAATTTTTCCCTTCAGTCTTCTTGCAATATCCTCCAGGTGAACACAAATACACAAAGACAAACGTTTTATCATCATTTTCTTCCGTTTATAAATGTGACAGTTAATCTTTATAGAAGTCGTCTAAAATTTCCCACGGGTATTTATCTTGTGTAATGCAGCTACAGACCGGAAGTTATATCCTGTACACTGGAGGGGCTAGAAAATGTAATTACAGTCCAAACTAAGGACGAACTTACACACACAATCATCAAAACGCTAATATGGAGAAGATATAGATTTTCAGCCTTTACGTTCAACTACTTATGCAACGGGTATTCAAATATCACCGGCCTTAGTAGCCCTCTGAAACTACCGACAGGCAAGCAACCACCCGTTGAAAAGCAGATTACATGTCTGTTTGAGTACTACATGTGAAGCCTCTGATTATTTCTCATATTACGATACTCTGACTTAGGTTGAGGGATGCTTTCTGTGTGCTACACTCCGTGCTCGACTCTCAGGTTTGAGGTATGGAGGCTGTATAGGATTTTCATGAATTCGTGAATTGAGAACAGGGAGAAATAAATCCGCATATCGGTCCATGGGACCGCCTCTGTGGTCAGAATTCCTGGCTACAGATCCAGAGGTCCCCGGTTAGATTCCCGGTGCTATCAGATTTTGTGTGAAGTAGTGGGTCTGGAACGGGTTCCGCTCAGCCTCCTGAGGATAATTAAGGAGTTATTTCAAGGAACTAGTGGCTCCGGTCTAGAAAACCGAGATCAATGGCCGTGGGGATCCGTTGCGCTGACCACGCAACACCCTCTATCCGCTAAAGTTGCAATTAACTTCGCCGACAAGCGGCGATAGCTCGGTCGGTATAGTTCGCTTGCAGACTAAAGGCCACGGGGTATCAGGTCCATGTCGGGTTTTGATTAGGATCTTTAATATTTGGAGTCAGAAACACTGAGGCTGTAATAATCCATAATTTAATAATTTTTTGTAATAACACGGGTATATTTTCAACATGCTTGTCCCACAGACGAGGAAGTTACGTGTGGGCTTCTCATAACACATCCTCCTGTTCAGTCCCCAGTAACTTTAGTTTTTGTAGTAACACCTGAAGGGAAGAGACCATTTGGGAGAGCGAGAGTGATTGTGATATTGAATTTGACATTAAAATATTAAAGGAACAAGATATGAGACTATGATCTGGAATTTTCTGGCTCTGGATGGTGACCAGTGTCGGCCATTTGTGAACATTATTATGAATCTTCGAATTCCATAAAGATGTGGCGTTTATTGACCAGCTGAATGTTTTTAATAAATTCTCCAGAAGCACACCTCTTCACGAAGTTGGTTACTACAGCTGCAAAGGTAATAATCCATATTTGGATGCACATAGTCACACAGACGTTCTCTGCAGCTCGACATTCTGGATTCGCTTTGCCATATATGTACTTTTCTTAAAGTTCTAAAAGTTTTTGTTACAACTGTTTTAGTTTTCATCATTGTTATTATTACTATAGGTACAATTATTCATATTTTAATATCGTTAATATGCTTTCTAGGCCGGTCACAGTAGCCGTACGGTCTTCGTTCGTTCGGACGCTGGGATCTTGGGTTCGAATCCCACTTCAGGTATTTACGTTTGGTGTGTGTATGCGTTTATTCTGTCTTTGTGTTGTCCTGTGTTTAGGTAGAGGCCTTGCCACGAGCTGATCACTCGTCCAAGGATTCCTACCGTCTGTGAAAAAATTATTATGGAACTTAATAAGATATCAGGGCCCCAAATTGACTGGAAGAGCCTCTGTAAAATATTAATATGCTTTCTACTATATTTACCATGGTTACCGAATTGCGATAATGGTGGTCCTAGTGTTGGTTAAACGTCATATTTTCGGGAGTCCGTTATAGATAAATAATTAGAAAGTATGAATTTGGAGTGGCCTCTGATAGCTTAACATACATACAGAATTTCATTAAAATTCGTTTAGCAGTTCTGAAGCTGAAATATGCTGAGTGCCGGGCAAAAAGACAGACTCGACGATCCCTACATGACTTGCACACAACGCAAAGAAAGTCTGTTGAGGTTCACAGTGAGGAATCATTTACGGCATGAGGGAAGTAGAGCATTGAGAGGCTTACCTTATTGCTGAACTCGTGACGCATGAAATCTTGGAGGGAGACCACAGCATCTTGTACAGACAGGTTGCTGTGTGGTTTGAGCAGAGCTTCATCAGTCTCGCTGTAGCCCAAGAACAGGAACACGCCCTGGGGCAATTTGTATGCGTCTGCAATGCATAGAACCAGAATACATTACAGTTCTCTGAAACGTGTGCGTTAATCCATTTCAGTCACCTCCTATTGCATTCTTCAGTTCACCTTTACCTGAAAGGAAAGGAGGGGGGAAAAAAAGGAAATTCAATTTTGTGACACTTTACATTTGATATCAAGAAAACTCAACTTAACACTTCTTTGGCGAACAGCTGTGTTCGTGCAGGGTCCAATGCTTTACAGGCTGGTCTATGTCTCCAATATTAGGGACTAATGTGACGAGCGTTACATCCGCACTCTATGTTTATACACAAAACAACAGCATATCCCAGACCGGACTTCATGAGGAACGGTGGACGAAGTCAGAAGATCGGCGGTATGGTCTCCTAGTGACGACAGCGTAGGGAACACTCGTGGTCGAATGAATTCATGTCGATTGTCGTTGGTCACATGACAGACTGATTATTATCCATGTGGCCGGGACTTGAATAGAATATCTCTGATCATTCAAATTCGTTCACCGTTTGCAATGTAGTCCCGGCTGATATGGATGTCAGTTCTGTGTGTAAATATAGCAGGAGAACATAAGCTTTATCAATATTTGCTGATGGTCATTTATATATGTAGTAGGTAGCAGGAAGGTTATACTTTCAGATAGGTGCAGCGCGGACTCAGTTCAATACAAATGTGATATGAATGCTGGAACATAAACATAAAAAATCTCAAAACATCATTTCTCTCATAAATTTATTATGGTTGAGTCAGATCTTGCTCTAAACGGCTGCAGCATTCCATTCCTAGACCGTGTAAGATATCCAGGTATGATCCTTCACAGAACCATTACATGGAAGCCATACGAAGAAATTACTGAAGCTAACGAGTTCAGAATACAACTCTTTAATGAACCGTCACAACACAGCAAATAGTAAAACATCAAAGTCAGCGTTCAGCTGTGGCTTTGCTACATGTTCAGAATATTTATTAGAGTCTACACATTTTAAAATGTTTAACGATCTAGCAATAATATTATATTAAATCTCCACAAAACATTCAATTATATAATTTACTGCTCTCCCGCCTGGGAATTTGCGGCAGACATTGGCATTACAGCCCTTGAAAAACGAGGTTCTCAGTGCCGAAGATAATTTTTTGAGGCGCACATCGGTTCGCAATTTCCATATGGTTTTCGTGGTATCGCATATTTGTGATTATATGATAAAAACGCGCAGAGAGCAAACGTAAGTCATACACAATCATGGGAATAGAAAAGTTAGCAACATATAATTAGGTGAGGCAAGACATATAAGAAATACAAGAACTTTAAAATTGTCAGCGTTCGTACTTCCAGCCAGCATTAGCTGCATGGCCAGAATGTTGTCGGGGAGCTTCCTGGCTTCGCTTAGTGGGAGGTGGAGTCCAGCTGGGTCCATTCGGCACGGCGGCCACTGATTGGCCTATTGTACCTGCCCCGGATGATTATGATGATGGAGGATTTGGTGGAATGAAGATTGGCAGGGGAAACCGAAGTACTCGGAGAATACCCGCCCCAACGCCACTTTGTCCACCACAAATCCCACTTGACCGGACCCGGGATCGAGCCCGGGCCGCCGCTGTGGGAAGCCAGCGATTAACCGCTTTAGCTGTGGTGCGGCCGAGGTACGGGCTTGGGTCTGGAACATGTCATTACAGTGAATGCAATAGAAATGAAATATGAGAATTCTGATTGGCAGATACGCAGTCCTATTTGTATTTTTCAGAGAATAAGAAGATTGGTTCTCAGTTGCTGCTATACTAGTTATAATTTTCGCATATTTGTCCCTTTATAAATGGAACATTCCCTGTAAATATAAAAACTAACATAATTTCAAATATCCCCAAACGTAAATTCTATTTCATCAACTTTTTGATGTTTTGTAATTAAACCCATTTCAATACCAAACAAAGAACCTTGCACATAGATTCCTGGACGAATGGACGCTATAATCTTACTAACATGTTTACACAGTATGTAGAGGTTTCCATTTCGATCTCTGTCACACACTATGATTAACTTTCAATCCTGCTTGGTCTTTCTCTCTCGGATTAACTAGAACACAGGATGAGGTCACGTGTAACACACAGTGAGTAAAGGGAATGCCACGATGCAGGGGTGAGTTGATAGCTGGAAGCTGAATTGAAATGTTTCCTATGTTGGTATTGGTTTTAATTATGGATGCACTGAGAAGATTATACATTTCACCTACTACACATGACACGCATAATTTGCGCTGTTGTATCCCTCCGCCAGCAGGAAACTGTAACACTAATCTGGAAGATGGCTACAGATTGTAGCTTTGTTTCCTAAGATATCAGGCTCTCATAAAGCAGCTATATTTATCTGAATTTTTTGAAAAAGATTAATAATAAATCAGATCTGCTTCTATGAAAAAAAGATTAACCGTAAGAAGGAAGTAGAATAATTGTTTGGAATTATTAAAATTAGTTGGTTGAGGCGGGTTCAAGTCCCGAAGAGGTAATCGAATTTTTTTCAATTGACCTAATTTTTCCAGCCGTACTATGGCCCTGGGGTCGACTCAGGCTCTAACAGAAATGAGTACCAGGAATATTCTTGGAATGTTCTTGGGAGTAAAGGGTGGCCGACGCGTAAGTCTAACCTTACCGCCATCTATGAGCCGTTTGTCTAGAAAATGTGGGAGCCTCAACATCTCACAACCCTATGGGTCTCCACGGCCTGTTACAGGGATACCTTTAATTACTATTTTACTTTTTATTTACAGTTTAAATTCCTCTCTTCAACAACGCCAATATGGCTATTATGCGAAATTCAAATAATTGTGTGAAAATATGATGCACAGAGGTAAGGGAACCATTGAATATAAAATTATACAACTGTTGATAAAGTGTTCTTATAATAACGAACAAACAGCCATAAGCATAGACTTCATTCGTTGAAATCCGAACAGCAGACCGACGAACACACGCACTGTACGTGGAATGTCCTTGACACTGCCACAAAATGCTCGAAGTTCGTCACGTTGAGCGTATTTCTGTCTTTATATTGCATTCAGTCCGAAAATACGATAGGAAGTAAACCGGTAACAAGAGGCCGCGCCATAGCTCAAGCTGTTAGTCGATGGCTTCCCACTGTGGCGACCCGGGTTCGATCCCGGTTCTGGTCAAGTGGGATTTGTGGTGGACAAAGTGGGGTAGGTTTTCTCCGGGTACTTCGGTTTCCCTTGCCAATCTTCATTCCACCAATTGCTCCACAACCACCCTCACCTACCATCTGGGGCTGGTACAATAGGCCAGAAGTGGCCGCAGTACAGGGGATTTAGTCCCACCCCACTAGCAATAAAAAAACGGTAACAAGTCTAAATAAATTCGGAGCGAACAAAACAAACAAACTCCGTGCCTTGTACTCCTCAAGCGAACTATACCGACCGAGCGACCGCCGCTTGTCAGAGAAGTTAGCGCCAACTTTAGCGGAGAGAGGGTGTTCCGTGGTCGTCGCAACGAATCCCCACGGTCGTTAATTTCGGTTTTCCAGACCGGAGCCGCTATTCCCTTGAAATATATATTCTCAGTTATCATCACGAAGCTGAGTGGACCCCGTTCCAGACCCACTACTTCTCAGAAGATGCAGTAGCGCCGGGATTTTAACCCGGGATCTCTGGATCTGTAGCCAAGAACTGTGACCACTAGACCACAGAGGCTGTCGAAATTCGAAATTCGGCCGGGGTCTATTAATCCTCACTGTGGATTTTAGGTCTTCTTCAGTCACTACAGCATATATCGGTATAGTGGAACATAAGACAAGCCTTTTCCTGCCGCATGCCTCTCCAATTTCATACCAAAATATCCTGCTACGTCTAATTTAAAATTATGTAAACTTCATGGCTGAGCTGTAGGCGGCGTGCAGTGAAGTAACCAAACAACGAAACAACGAAGCAACTTGTCCACCGGAAGAGCCACTCTTCATAGATTGATGGCATTTACTGAGAGGGGAGAAACGTAAGTGAACAGTTTAACTGTAATCTTAGTGCATCCGGTGCACACATAGATATTCGTGTACGCAAAGCGCCAATGTGGCAGCTACAGGTACCACAAGTAAAACCCACTTTATATTTCAGTGACAAGGATAAAAATACTTTGTTCTTGTTCTAACGCTTCTGATATGTATTCGGGAAATATCGAGTTCGAATCTCGGTCGAAACACAGATTATAATGAGTTTCTATGTAGTTTTCCTCAGTCCCTCCAGGCGGGAGAATGCCGGTATAATATCTCGAAACAAACGATGACCACTTCCATCTGCATATTTTAAATTAATCACTGAATTCTACCATTTGGAGATAAAAACCGAGCTATTGTGAAGCTTCGTTAAATAAACACTCACTCACTCATGAAGCTGAGCTCGTCTTGAGAAACCGCCAATTGTGCAACTACTCAAGAATTTTTTATGGAACCCGAAGGTTCATTACCGTGTTCACAAGAGCCCTCCACTGGTCCCTATCCTGATCCAGATCAATCCAATCCATAACATCCCATACTATCTCTCTAAGATCCATTTTAATATTGTCCACCCACATACGTCTTGTTCTTCCTAGTGGTCTCTTTCCTTCTGATTTTCCCACAAATATCCTATATGCATTCCTCTTCGCCTCCATTCGTGCTACATGCCCTGTCCATCTCATCGTCCTTGACTTGATCATTCTAATTATACTTGAGAAGAGTACAAGTTATGAAGCTTCTCATTATGCAGTTTTCTCCAACCTCCTGTCACTTCATCTCTCTTCGGTCCAAATATAATAGCCCTACTAGTGATATCAAATACTTGGAACGAACGGACGTTAAATTTATTGAAGGGTCGGCTGGAAGCGAGAAGACTTACCAGGTGCGGGCCGCATACAGATGAACCGGCCAGAGTAACAGAGGCAGCGTCCGCGGTAGGCTTGGTACGCAGGGGCCGCGTGGTTGTAGAAAGCGAAATCCGTCTTGCACGGGGCCCTCTCAACGCACACCGTATTACAGCTCAGAGACTCACCCTCGTTACATTGACACAACTCGGAGCATTCCGGCTCGTCATCTCGGTAGAGCTGCAACAGTTGCATCTTGTTATGTAAATCACTGTACATTATCACAAACGGGGGCGTCTACACAACAATACATCTAGGAAAGGAAACGATGACAAATCGGTAATAATGTAACAAAAAACGAACTCCGTGGCCTGTAATCCGCAAGCGAACTATACCGACCGAGCGACCGCCGCTATTCGGCGAAGTTAGTGTCAACTTTAGCGGATAGAGGGTGTCACGTGGTCAGTGCAACGGATCCCCACGGTCGTTAATCTCGGTTTTCTAGACTGGAGCCGCTATTTCCTTGAAATAGCTCCTCACTTATCATTACGAGGCTGAGTGGGCCCCGTTCCAGACCCACTACTTCTCAGAAAATCTGGTAGCGTCGGGAATCGAACAGGGACCTCTTAATCTGTAGCGAGGAACTTTGACCACCAGACCAAAGAGGCGATCTTACTAATGTAATACCATTTCGTTTATTGTGAAAAGGTGTTGCGGTATATGTTTTGACATTCAAGAGGTCATTATCATGCCTACTTACAGAAGAAAACTGTAATGAAGACAGAACTCTGCAACGAGGCCTGCAGATATCGTCGTTTCTAAGGTTCGTAAGGGCACGTGGGTGAAAATCACAATCAGAACTTTCGCTCAGCAACGAATTTTGTGGTGAGTGACACATAAGCTGATGGTCGTGACCTATGTAACGCTTTATCTCGAATTGAGATTAGTTATTTTCTTTGCTTTCCTCGCTTTTGCCTCTATATTTCTGAGTCTGACTAACAGAATGCTGTGTACATTCACCAGTTCACAATCACTGACAAAATCCCTACGTTTTCTCTGAATGCCTCGAAGCAAAACTTTTGTGACTTTCAGTTACCGATGCCAGTAATTCTACAACAAGGTTGTTTACGAAAAGTTTCTTTCCATGTCGCTATCCTTTACAGAGCAGTTTGTGCACACGGTTAAGCAGCGAACATCAATTTCTGCCTCTCATGCTAAGAGGAGGCAGCGCTTGCCACAATTTTCCTGCACACGAATCTGTGTATTATAGAATTGCAAAACTTATTCTCAGTCGCTATAACGTAAGGAAATGTTATCCTTGTAGCAGGCCGTGGAGGCCAATAAGGTTGTGAGACTTCGAGACTTCCACATTTTCTAGACAATCGGCTCACAGATGGCGGTAAGTTTGTCAGCCTTACGCACCGGCCTCCCTTTACCCTCCAGGAATATTCCTGGTACTCATTTCTGTTAGAGGCTGAGTCGAACACAGGGCCATAGTGAGGCTGAAAGGTTTAGGTAAATTGAAAAAAAAAAATTCAACTCATCGGGACTCAAACTCGCGACCTTCCGGCTTGTAGCATAGTGCCTCAACCAACTACACTACCGCGTGTCTCATAATGTAGTAAGTTTCTTGTAATATTCTTTCACCCCATTAATTGTAATACACTAGTCGCTTATTTGCCGATCACAATGGCCGCACGGTCTAAGTTGTGAAATGTGTTCGCTCGAACACTAGGATCATGGGTTCGAATCTCACTCAAGGCATGGATGTCTATGTGCGTTTATTCTGTGTCTGTGTTGTTCTGTGTGTATGTAGCGGCCTTGCGACGGGCTGATTCCACGTCCAAGGAGTCCTACCGACTGTGTATGGGATTAAGAAAATGAAAAAGCAGCCAAGGTCCAACAAAGGGCTGTAGAGCCACAGACAAACAGATGATTATAGCAAAACCCGTACAGTCATTCGTAAAGCAAGCAGTGCACGGTGTATAAACGCTGTACTGTGGTAGTCGCCCTCGGCTATGAAATAAGGAAATAGGCCTCCAATAGGGCCGCACCATAGCTTGAGCAGTTAGTCGATGGCTTCCCACCGCGTCGGCCCGGGTTCGATCCCTGGTCTGGTCAAGTAGGATTTGTGATGAACAAAGTGACGCTGGGGCAGGTTTTCTCCGAGTACTTCGGTTTCCCCTGCCGGTCTTCATTCCACCAAATTCTCCATCATCATAATCACCCGAGGCAGGCTACAATAGACCAATCAGTGGCCGCCGTGCCAAGTGGACCCAGTTGGACTCCACCCCCCCCCTAAGCGATTTTTTTTGGCTTCCAGTTAAATGTTGACTCTTGTTGAAGAGAAGGATCTATGCTAGGAACTTAAAAGAAAATAATTGTAATTTATGGTTTTGTTTTTTCTTTTTCTTTCCCGAAATATGCAGTTATGATGATGGTACGTTCTTAAAATGTGAAGTTACGAAGTTGCTGAGTTTTCTCCATGCATAGTGCGTGTTACTGAAAACAGATGTAGGTTATTTTTTAAATTATGCATGTCATCAACTTTTTCGCGGAAGGGAGCTGATGTCTGTAAGTGGGCAGATCGTGCAACGGCCACTCACCCGTTTTCCTTTTCCTTCTCGGATGTACTGCACAGAATGGTCACGATGTACAGCACAGAAACCTGTAAGAGAAAACTGTCGTTATAGATCGGCGAAAACAAAAGTCTCTTCTAAGGTATTTACCCCTCCCTCTCTCTCTCTCTCTCACACACACACACACACACTCACATACGTGTACATTCATATGGCTCCATATTTTATTTTAGGAATTATGTCAAATATTGTTGGGGTACGCAGCAGTGTAGCTGGTTGAGGAACTTTACTACAAGACGGAATATGGTGGATTTGATTCCCGATGAGGCCATTGTATTTTTCAATTGACCTAACACTATGACCCTGGGGTCAACATAGCCTCTAACATAAATGGGTACCAGGAAACTTCCTGGGGCCAAGGGCGGCCGGGGCGTAAGGCTGACAATCTTACCGCCGTCTGTGAACCGATTGTCTACAAAATGTGGGAGGCTCGACGTCTTACATCTATATTTACGTAATTAAAAAATAAAATTACTGTACATTTTACTTGTGAGAACTCGGATAGCTTATTTGGTATAACGACTGGTTACGGGTTGGACTGCTGAGGGATCGGGGTTTGAGTTCCGGTAAGGTCAAGAATTTTATTTTCTCCACGTAGTCTACATCGGCTCTGGGGACCACCTAACTTCCTTTCCAATAGGTACTGGGGGCTCCTTTCCCGGGGGTAAAGCGGCGGAGGCGTGAAGCTGACCACTCACCTTCAACTAGTGTCGAGGTAAAGAAAATTTGGATCTATACATCCACTCCCCAAATGTCTTCATGGTGTAGTATTTAGTTAGATAAGCACAGGGACAACTTTACCTTTTTTACATTTTACTGGTACAGTACGCTTTTGTCATACATATTATATACACACATAGTACAAGGTATATAAAATCCCATGTACTTACAGGTGATTTAAGGGATTTTCAAGGTTATTCTGATTCTTCGCGATTTTTGGTTTGCGCTCCAATTTTAGAACGTAACCCCAAGCAATCTGCAACTCCATTTCAGTGAAAGTCGTGATTAATTAAGTTACTATCAATACAAGGAATACGAAATGGGCAAGGCTTGTAGCATGAATGGCAGAGAAGAGGAATGCATATTTGAGATTCTCACAGCCCTGATTATGAAGATTCCTATCTTCTGGGAAATATCGCGGAATAGTGCGCTGAAAGTAAATCGATGTTTCGAAGGCACATATCGCCTCTATCTTCAGGGTCGAATAATAAACCAAGTAAAAGTAACATGAAGCATGTACCTCAGCTCACTACCTGCTTTATGCTTGTTTCTTCCTTGGATTATTCTTCAAACCTTGAAGATAGTGATATGTTCCTCCGAAACGTCGACTGCCTTACAACATACTACACGATGTCATATCCCAAAAGATACGACTCTTAATCTTCAATGCATATTCATAAAAAATCTTCTGAGCTCTAAAACTTGTTCTTCATAGCCTTTCTTTCCCCTGGAACAACTCATTCGATGTTTCGTCACTGCTGTATCTCAGGGTTCTTGTTAGCATGACCCCGTACAAGGATCCGCGGAGTTCAAATATAGTCTTATCTTCGGATGATAAAATCCAAAAGGATACCGTCGCCACCAGACAGACAAAATCTCTTGTCGCAAACATGGCAGATCAAAGAAGGGGATATCCAGACAAATACATTCAAACAAACATGCTCCTTTTCAGCCTTCGTAATATACACGCGTAAGTAAGTCATACCCCGTGGGATCTTTAATACGTAGCTAAGTAATGTCTCTGTATAAAACCCCCGTTGCTAGACAACAGATTCCTAACACGCACCAATGGATTAAGAAAAAAGTTAGTTGCAAGAGCGCGGCTGTGAAAGGAAGACTCTATGTGTGATACCTGAAGAGTGTAATTCAGTGAGACTGTTATACTTCCCATGTTAAAGTCCGTTGCTAGGAAACGGTTAGAAGAAATTGTAATGTATTCAGGACACAAGTCCGTGTGTCAGTGATCAGAAAATTGTACAAGTAATTGCGAGTCGTGTGTTAACGTGGTCAATAAATCCAATATCTCATCCTACCCCGTCTATAGTCACCCTTAAATCGTGACGATACTAATATCCCCCCCCCCAAGTTAATTCAGAATCCCAATATTGTCATCTTCAAAATTATTCATAATGGCTGGAGTGTAAAGGCCAACTAATATTTACGCATAAATTATGTTTTATGAAATGACCTGAAAAACTCAGACATGTGAACACCCTGCAATCTGGCCGTTCTGTCTGTCGCTATCTTGAATGTGTTTGTATTGCTCAATCACTCACAAGTCATAGAGTTGAGCCCTTCTTGAGAAGCCGCCAATTGTGCAGCCAATGAAGAACTTTCAAGCAGTTTATAGAACCCGAAGGTTCATTACCGTGTTCACAAGATCCCTCCACTGGTCCCTATCCTGAGCCAGACCAATCGAATCCATACCACCCCATCCTATCTCTCTAAGATACACTTTAATATTATCAAATCCACCTACATCTTGGTCTTCCTAGTCATCTCTTTCCTTCTGGTTCTCCCACCAACATCCTACATGTATTCCTATTCTCCATTTGTGCTACATTCCCTGCCCATATCATCCTCATTGACTTGATCATTCTAATTATACTTGGAGAAGAGTACAAGTTATGAAGCTCCTCATTATGCAGTTTTCTCCAACCTCCCGTCACTTCATCTCTCTTCGGTCCAAATATTCTCCTCAACACCCTGTTCTCAAACACCCTCAGTCTATGTTCGTCCCTTAATGTCAGAGACTAAGTTTCACACCCATACACAGCCACAGGCAAAATTATAGATTTGTATATTCTAATTTTTATATTTTTGGACAGAAGACGAGAAGACAAAAGGTTCTGGACTGAATGGTAGCAAGCATTACCCGAATTCAATCTCCTCTTAATTTCCTCCTGAATCAGATTTCGATCTGTTATCGTTGTTCCCAAATATCTCAACTGTGCCACATTTTCAAAACATCTGTTTCCTATCTTTATGTCATGATTTTGTCCTACATTTTGGTGACGAGACAGCAACATATACTTAGTTTTCTCTGCGTTTACTTCTAGACTAACCTCCTTACTAACGTCAATTAAAGTATTGCGTGTTTTTCTTTATGGTATCTATATTATCAGCCAGTAGATTCACATCATCGGCATGGTTCAAAAGCTGATGTGTACAACTTAGGCTGGGGCCACACAAGCGCACGAAGTACGTCCGTTGCAAGTCACGTACTTTATGACGGACGTTACTGAGGACACCAGACAGTTGCAGAATGCGGTACGTAGTTTTTTGTCAGTAATGGAGCCAGAAGAAAGCGTAGCATTCGCCTCTCCTGTTTATTTCTACAACGGACGCATTTTGTGCGCTCGTGTGGCCCCAGCCTTAATTTCAGTCCCACCTGGTGTTCTTATTTCTACTGGTAGAATTTCCCATACATCTGCCATGATTTGCGAAAGTGCAGAGGACACTTGGGCGTGGATGGAACTACCATTTTCGGAGGGTGATGTGTCTACTCACGAGGCGGTAAAGTCGTGGTTGTTGTGGTGGGAATGGTACTGGGCATGTCCTCCAGTTCTGTGCTCTGGAGTCCTTCTTCGGGCAGAATCCTACTTGTTGTCGTCGCAGAGGGCATCATGATGGGAGTCACCCTCCTTGATGTCATGTCAGGTTGGTGCGGGCCCCATGTGGGGATTGAGCTGCTACTAGTCGTCGAGATTGTTGTGGTCTGAAGCCCCTCCGTGGACCGCTTCGTGTGGTAATCTTTCTGCGATTCCACTGGAAACCCAAAAAGCAATAGGATGGATTTTCTCCTACCAGTATCAACACTACAATAACATGGACACGGTACTGGTATGACCGGATTACTGGAAATTGAAGAGAGTAGTTTAATATATTCTAAAATAATTCCACTGGTGATGATGATAATAATAATAATAATAATAACATAATAATACCGAGTGACAACTTACAGCACCATAAATATAATCAGCAAATATATTTATTGTTATTAGTGGGGTGGGTTTCCCCATGCACTTAGACCAGTTATTGGTCCATTGTGCGTCCCCCTTTAATTTCTACTGTCGCCATACCCTACCGGTACTCGTGCGTGCTATCAGCCCCGTTCAGCCAACGAGGTCGGCCCGGTACCCGATATTTCCCCCATCTACCAGAGGCATTGGAAACTACTTGGGTGGGAAATGTGTTGCCTAATTTTGCTCAGAGGTCTCCTAGAGACATGTGGATCTTTTACGTGCCGTAAATCTACGACACAGGATCCACGGCTTAAAGTCCCTCCCGGAGGACTTGTTCCCTGAATTTTTCCGCCCTTAAAAATTCCACGACCTCCGCCGGGTTTGAACCTGCGTACCTTGAGTCATGAGGTGGGAACGTTACACCTAGATTACGGAGGCCGCTATCAGCAAATATTATATAAGAACACAAAATTCAAATTCCATTTGGACTCCAGTGTGAATCAGAATATATCAATTCCTAACAACAAACACGAATTCTTGGCTGTAAGTTGAACATTGGGTGAAATCATAGAAAGAAATCAAGAAAAAGAGTGTATTTACAAATTTGCATTATATAATGGGGGCACTAAGCTACAAGCCGGAAGGGCGCCGGATCGAATCCCGATGAGGTGGATTTTTTCAATTTACCTAATCCTTCCAGCAGCACTATGGTCCTAGGGTCGACTCAGCCTCTAACAGAAATGAGTACCAGGAATATCCTTGGGGGTTAAATGGCGGCCTGAGTGTAAGGCTGACATCACCACATTTTGTGAGCCGATTATCTAGAAAATGTGGGAGGCTCGACATCTCACAACCCTATGGGCCTCCATGGCCTGTTACAGGGATACCTTTAACTTTTTTACATTATATAATAATAATAATTCACTCAGAATTACTGGGTTTTCGGACTTCTTCCATCATCTGGATTTCTAGAGACAAGAAAACACAATGTTTCGGCAGCTGGATCTGTTTCCGTCCTCAGGTGTGGGGGAGAAAGACACCTACTTACTTGGGTCCCTTACAAAGAACTAACCTCAATCACATGACAACCCTGTCGAGTGACCGTCGGTTATAACATAAGACTCGATCTGACAGGGTTGTCCAGTGAGCTCTTCCTGAGGGACACAAATGAGTAGGTGTCTTCCCCCTCACCTGAGGACGGAAATACTTCCAGTTTCCGAAACGTTGTGTATTCTTGTCTCTAGAAATACAGATGATATAAGAAGTCCGAAAACCCAGTAATTCTGAGTGTTATATATCACCGTCAGAACCCTTTAGAATCGAATAATAATTCAATTTAATCCTGCATATTTACTTACTTACTCAAGCGTCAAAAGCCCAATTACAAAGCAAACACGAGCAACAGAAGAAGCAAAGAACATAAACGGAAACCAACCAAGGTCACTTTTATAATTTACACAATTATGATAATGATGATTACTTTACTATTGCACTGATTGACTGATTGGCTGATTCAACAGCCTAACGGCCAATTACAGAGTCACGATGAGAAGAAGAAATCTATTCATTTAGCAGAACGCTTGCCAACAACTGCATGGTGTATCAAGGAAACCCTTGAAATAAATAATAAATGAAATATGAAAAAGAACAAATTAACTATAATTATGCAAAGGAAAATATTATCACGGGAAACCCCATTCCTGTTGAAAACATGAAGACTACTAGCACAGCTGATACACCGGGAAATAATCCCAAATTTATGTAGTTTGTACACTGAAACCAACAGCAAAAATTGTATAGTGACAATTTGTTTTGTCATTAAAACATGGAACAAAAACAAACTACAACTTTCCGTCATTGGGAATAAACTGCGTTTAATTTTAAACACTCAACAATCATGAACAATACAATGTTATGAGATACATATGATATCGTGTAGTACGGCGCAAGTTAACTGACGTTTCGGAGGAAAGTACTGTCTCCAGCTTCAGGGTGGAAGGGAAGGCAAGAAGTAGGCGGTAAGCCTTCACAGTATTTTCAAAATTACCGTTATGAGAACCTCAAACTTACTGATGGTGGTGATGATAATGTGCATGCACAATCTCCAATTTATGTCAAGCCGTTGCTAGGTTTTGGCGTTGCTTCGAGGGTGAGAAACAAGATCTTCATGTACAGTTGCTAGGATACGAAGAATGAGCCGAGCCGAAATAAGTTCTGTCGCTGACGTCATGCGGGGTGAGCAATGACGTCAGGAAGGGCGAATAATATAGATAAAAGAGGAATACGGAAAAAATAATGGAAGGAAATAATTATAAGAAATAGGCGGGGGGGGGGGNGGACAGAAGACATTTCTCCCGTCGTGTTTGATGGGTCGTCTTTTAATTCCAATCAGTTCTTTACTTATTTACTTGCTGAACTCAAAAGCCTGAGGCCAATTACAGAGTCAGTAAAAATAAGAAAAGAAAACAACACAGAAATAACAAACGGAAAACCAGGACCCCTCCCAATGACACACACACTGACTAAGGTAAAGGGTAAATTAATCAAACAACAAAAGCAAACTCCGTGGTTTTAGTCTGCAAGAGAACTATACAGAACGAGCGACCGCCGCTTGTGAGCAAAGTTAGTGCCAACTTTTGTGGATATAGGGTGTCACGTGGTCAGCGGAACGAATCCCTATGGCCGTTAATTTCGGTTTTCTAGACCGGAGCCGCTATTTCCTTGAAATAGCTCCTCAATTATCCTCACGAGGCTGAGTGGACTCCGTTCCACACCAACCACTTCTCAGAAAATCAGGTAGCGCCAGGAACCGAACCCGACCTCTGGATCTGTAGCCAAGAACTGTGACCATTAGACCACAGAGGCCGTCTATAAATGAATCAAGGACTACGAAATAAACGTGTCTAAAATGTATGTAAATTTACACATTGCATTAATGTAGAAGTACATTTAGTTGAATGGTAGTGACTGAAGCAAAAAACGAACATAGAAATGTTAAATGTGTCCCGAGCAGGGACGTGGATACCGACTGTTTCTGGAACAGAAGGGTTATATTTTGGGCCACTATAAATATTTATTAAAAATTAAGCATCTGAGTGATATAGTATCTGTGAATTTATTTTTTTGCCCTTAATTATCATAAAGATTATGAATACTCTGAAAAATTCTATTAAATTTAAAATGAAGAAGGCCATATTCTGTGATGTGGCGCCGTGTACATCTTGTGTGAACCAACGTTTCGTTACAGCCATCTGCTCACGCTGGTTCCTCTCTCGCGGATTTTGCTACCCTGAAAATGGAAGCGATACGTTCCTCCGAAACGTCCGTTCACGTAAGATCTACATGGCGCCACATCCGAGAACATGTCATTCTTCATAATCATCGCCGTAAAATCCTCAACACTTATAAATTTCAAATGGGTTTACAAATAATACTTCCTTACACAAAGACACAGGATTTAAGTCCCTAAATATGCATAGATTTTGTCTGAAACTAGCATAATTATGGTTGGAAACAGGTGAACTGCGTGTTAAGCAAGCGTTAGGATGCGTTCCGTGTTGCTGTGTGTTCAGGCGAAGCCTCCACACTAAGCATGCGCGGTGAAGCATACGGAGTAGTAGCTTCACGGTCTCTCTTCCCCCTCCCCTCGCAGGTCTCGTCAATTGGGAGTAAATCAAGCATACATTGTACGTGAATGGTAAATAAGCTTGGCGTTAATAAGAGGCGTATGTATTCATCGACTGAAAGAGTCGATATATCAGGCCCTGAATTCAGTCCTGCAAATACAATAAAAATGAATGCATGAAACTGAGGTCAATAACCTCTTCTTGTTGCTATTGTACCGTAAGAGAATAGTGTAAAATATATTGTGCAGAATTTACCATATCTGTTGATGTTTAAATAATATAATATTCGGTAAGATAGCACCTATTCAGGGATCGATTCTCGATTTCCGACATGTATAAAGGCATCACAGTTATTGGGAAGGTTATGGTTTAGAATTTCCGCAAAATTATCTGGTATCCTGACTGAAGTTTTTCGTTGTATTCTTTAGTTCCTCCATACAAATTCCCGGACAGCACCTCTATTAAAACATGAACGCATTTTTTCTTTCCCTCAAAATTCTTCCTCACGCGTGACTTATCTATCATATTGCGAATTGACTAAGAAAGATCTAGCTGCTGACACCACCATTAACTTTGAGCATATTATTATGTTTAATTTCAATATACAAAAGTTGCGTGCGTTACGAAAGATTGCCAAAATATAATTTAAATAACGTCCAAATTTTGGATTGTGCTACTCAAGAACATCCCAGCATTTGCGGAACCTGAAGGTTTATTATCGTGTTTACAAGAACCATCCACTGGTCCCTATCCTGAGCCAGTTGATTCCAATCCATACCATCCCATTCTATCTCTCTATGATCCATTTTAATATTGTCCTCCCTCCTACGCCATGGTCTTCCCAGTGGTTTCTTTCCTTCTGGCTTTCCCATCAATATCCTATATGCAATCGTCTTCTCCACCATTCGTGCTACATGCTCTGTCCAACTCATCCTCCTTGACTTGATCATTCTAATTATACTTGGAGAAGAGTACAAGTTATGAAGCAGTTTTCTCCAAATTATATGAATTGTATCTACTAATTTGATGAGAGGAAAAAATTAACAGATCCAGTTTCCGAAACGTCGTGTCCTCTATTACTTAAAATACCGGACGATGAAAAAAGTCCAAAACCTCAGTAATTCTGTAATTTTAAAATAGTTGGAAGGAACCGTTAGTGGCCTAATTTATTGTACTGTCCCATCATTTTGCCTGGATATACTGAGGAAAGCCATGAGAAACCTCGGTCAGGATAGACAGAATCCTCACTTGGACCTGTTTACTTGGTGCTAGAAAGGCTACAAAGTTTACGTTTCGAACGGGGAACAAGATGCCAGAAATACTGACCGACACAGGGGTTAACCCACAGCAAGCGCTGCCAACCGAGACAATCGTACAGCTGTGTGAAGTCGGTTCCTTTGCATGCACAGTTTGATCGGAGTTCTGTGCCTAGAATCCCGAGCATGGCTTTCCGACACTCTGAAGGCGGTCCGGCACACTTTTTTGTCAGACTATCCACTGCGCATGACTGTTCATAGTATTCCAGCCTGCTCCTGCAACAACACAAAATATTGTTATTACATTGATGCAGAGTTTTGAAACACGTATGTGCACCCATGATATGTATACAGTGGCCGTCTTGTAGTGCACTCAATTTCACCTCTTACTTCACGACATGTTTCGGCAACATAGTGCCATCGTCAGGTGCCCTAATTACGCTAATCTATTTCATTGCTTGACTTTATAAAATTAATTAAAAAGTATTTAAAAAGTGTGTATTTGTCAACTATAATAAATTTACACACACTAAAACTTGTTAAGATTATTCATCTTATGTGTCTTAATTAAAACTTGCATGTTGTTCTTCCACTTTGGAGGTCGTTTGTCTTATATTCTGTGTAGACCGTATCTTGTGATGTGTGTTCCCTTCTTAGCAGCTAAGAACTAGCAACTGTATACATATCATGGATGAAAATCAGTGCAACAAGACGCTAAAATCCAACGTACGTGCACGTTAATTTCCACAGATTTTAAACATTTTTTACGCAAACAAACAAAAAACAAAACAAACTCTGTGGCCTGCAGTCCGCAAGCAAAATATATCGACCGAGTGACCGCCGCTTGTCGGCGAAGTTAGTGTCAACTTTTGCCGACAGGGGGTGTTACGTGGTCAGCGCAACGGATCCCCACAAAAGTGCGAAAAATGTGTCAATGAATCGAGTAACACTGTGCTGTACAGCGAGACGAGTGTGAGTTTCTCTGCGTTTCGGTCTATTCTATATGCCGAAGTTGGTAGCCGTGAGAATATATACCATTTCGATGTGATTAAAATTCTTTAAGAGCTTCTGCTGCAAATGTTTCACTGAACAAAACACATATTTTTAAAAAAGAGTGCTTCGTTTCAGATAATATAATAAATTATTATTTTATGAAGTTTAAAACATCATATGGCGGTGTAAACACATAAGTTTATTTTCATTTGAGTATGAAAAAGGAAAATGTTATTGTCCATAGCTTTCATTCGAATTTAATTTTAATATAAGCTACCTTTTTTTATCGCTGAATTAATCTATTTTACAATATTGCAGTAGGTAAGCAACTCGTGGATATATCGTTTTGTCTGTATGCATTCAAAGGCTTATGGAAGAGATATTCAAAATAATTCCAAATAGGCTGGCTGTATTGTATTTCGGACATCTTACCTTAAACAGAGCACGAAACTATATTTATTTTAGACGTATGAAGTCTTATACGAAGGGCCTATTTTGAAATTAATTAAAAAGGTATATATCTTATCTTCATATAGAAAGTATGGGCTGAAGTGTTGTTCATACGAGATAAGCCAGTGAATGGGCCAAGATTCGAACAGTGTACCTCATGAGTACAAATCAGACGAGTTCTCGCTGTAATATAAGATTTTAGGTTTTCACGGCAGTGACTATGATGCCGTCTTCTGAGATGTGGCGCAGTGTAGATATTGTGTAAACCGACTTTTCTGAGGAGCGTATCACCTACATCTTCAGGGTAGAATAATCCGCGAACGAGGAACTAGCATGAGCAAGTGGCTGCAGACTGAGTCACCACTGAGGCCCCCTCTTCCTCCCTTCCTGTTCTTTCGACTGGTGACTCAGTCTGCAGCCACTTGCTCACGCTCGTTCCTCGCTCACGGATTATTCTACCCTGAAAATGTAGGTGATGCGCTCCTCAGAAACGTCCGTATACACAATATCTACAGGGCGCCACATCCCAGAAGACGGAATTCTTCCCACTGTAATGTTCGTGCTACGACTATGTAATGCGAGTCCGCTTGAAGCTTAAGAGCGAGTTTCTAGTTGAATTCCAAGGTTCCAGGGCGAGTGAACAAGATATGGTATGAAGACTTCATAGATATTTCAAGCGTTATTGTCTGTGTTGAGATCCGTTGCCAGGATACGACTAGTGAAGACTGAGAATCCTAGTGCTTGTGCAACGGTGAACTGTAAATTGTGTAAATCAGCGATGGCGCTGTATTAATTGTAACTAAGAGAGAACTCGTAACCGAAGCGCCAATAAATCCAATCATCCGAACTATAACCAGTTATTTTCGTCACGTCACACACGTGACAGTATTATGATTTTATAAATATTATGACGTGTTTGGAATACTTCTGACCGCCATTACTTTTGAGACAGAAGTTTGGAAATAACAACGGTCTCTGCTGACGTCATGCAGAGATTCCTTATCAACCTACAAAGTCCAACAAATCTGTTTACTAAGTGACTTAACATTAATGGAAAGGAGTGTGTCTGCCCTAAATTATTCAGACAGACATATCACGTGATTGAATATCTATTTTCCCTTCATTTTTAACATGTAGATGATATATATAAATAAATATATATATATAAGGTTTTAAATAAAATCAAAACAAAAGAGAAGGGAATTAGAAAGATATTCTCACGCGAGCTCTCATTTCTCTTCTACTATTAAGCACGTGCAATCTAAAGCAAAATTTAAAACTCCGTGTAATGGATGTAATAATTATAGACGCTCAATAGCCTGTTTTTCATTGGGTGTTGAAGCACTATATTGCAAGCCGGAAGGCCGAAGATTCGATTCCCGATGGGGTCATTGAATTTTTCAGTTGACCTAAGCCTTCCAACGGCACTATGGTCCTGGGATCGACTCAGCCTTTGACAGAATTTAGTACCAGGAATCTTTCTGAGGGCACAGGGCGACCGGAGCGTAGCCTGACAATCTCATCGCCATCTATGAACGGATTGCAAGCCGGAAGGCCGAAGATTCGATTCCCGATGGGGTCATTGAATTTTTCAGTTGACCTAATCCTTCCAACGGCACTATGGTCCTGGGATCGACTCAGCCTTTGACAGAATTTAGTACCAGGAATCTTCCTGAGGGTAAAGGGCGGCCGGAGCGTAAGTCTGACAGTCTCACTGCCATCTGTGAACGGATTATCTATAGAAAATATGGGATTCTCAACGTTTCAGAACCCTATTAGCCTCCACGACCTGTTATAGGGATAGCTTTACCTTACTACAACGCTTGATAGAGAGGTCTGTTGCTATTCTGCTGAGCAAGTTGCATTGTCAGGATGGTACGAAGATATAAACTGTTATTCTCAGAGCAACTGAATGTTCTGGTACGCCTTATGCCACTCTTATCGTAACAAGCATGACTGACATCTGGTAAGTCACAGAGCCCTAGCTATTAGGGACTGAGATCATAAGCCGTTTCATAAGGAAAATATGTGTACTCTTATTAACTAGGAGAGCAGAATTTCTGGTTAATATTTTATTTTATTAATGTTTCAGAAAGTGGGAACATAATTCGCAATCTTCGTTTTAATGTTCCGAGTAACCATTTTCAAACATAATTCGTTCGCCCAAAGACCCGATATATTTTATTCCTCTAGTCAATCTATATGTCAAACCCATCACAACCCTAGGGTAAAGGTGAAGCTGTCCCCTCGCTTAACTAATTAAGCACTACGCCATGAAGGCGTATGGGGGAGTGGCTGTATAATCCATATTTTCTGGACCTCAGCAGTAGCTATAACTGAGTGGTCAGCTTCACGCCCCGCTCGCTTTACCCTCGGAGAAAAAGTTCCCGGTACCACTGGATAGGAGGTTGGGTGGTTCCCAGAGCCGGTTTCGACGACGTGGAAAAGAGAAAATTCTTGACCCTACTGGGACTCGAACACCTGAGCAGGTTGGTTAACTGGTAGCTCATTATACTTGTCTTATGCTGCAACCCTCATACTGCTGTCTCCTCAGCCTGAGATTTTCGTGGTTTTCTTCAGTCTCTAGAAGAAAATGACGAATGGAACTTCAAAGACAATGGCGACCTCCTACAGTATCCTCGTTATTTATAGTGTGTCATGCAGACTCGTTGCTAGGCAACGACCACCAATTAAACAACTGTACAACAGACATGACCACAACAATTCCTCGACAATTACTCTGCAACAGAGGATTTATATTTTCTACTAGGTCCGTGACGAAACTTAGTGGTCAGTCGAGAGAGAATCTACAGTCAGTCAGTTGGCTGGTGAGTTAGTGAGTTACTTGGATAACCAGTGGGGTTCAGTTGGGAGCTGTTGCTGTGAGAAGCTGGTAGTTGAGGCCTGCGGCATTTCGGGAACACAGAGAAAGTGAATGTTCAACGTTTGAAGCCGCTACCAAGCAACGACTAGTGAAGACTGTAACAGACTGAGAAGACCTAATTTATCCCATAATTCTTACTTGTATTTACGAGTTGTAAGAATTCAATAAATACTATTGGGAGTCCAAACCCCCGTCTATAGTCACTCATACACGTGACAATATTTATCTTCCCACCTCATTCAACTCTGCATAAAAAGCAGGACCGTTAAATACCGTATTTACGCATGTATAGGCCGCACATTTTTTTGCCAAAAATTCAAGAGGAAAACTGGGATGCGGCTTATATTCGAAATATTCGAAATCACACTTCATTTAAAAAAATTATATTCATAATTAGTAATACAGGGTGTTCTACTCCTGAAAGAATATTCCAAGAAAATTGTTTTTTCTATAATTTCTGTCTGAAAATTGTGCTGCGGCCTATAGACGCACGCGGCCTATACATGCGTAAATACGGTAATCTAATAATTGAGTAAACTGCTAAAGAGCAGGGATATACAGAATTTGTGCTCATGTAAATTAGATAACACATGTAGTTTTATTCAGTCTTGCTTCGCAGGAATTTTAAATTTAAACTGAATTTGAATGCGACAAACTAAACAACGCGGACATGTACAGAGGTGTGAACTGGTCACAGTCCTGGACAGAGAGAGAGAACCCCGAGCCTTGTTCCTGAGTTTCTGTGCAAATGAATGGAAACGTGTCAGAAAACAGGCTGCATTTGCGACAAGGCTCGAAGCGACAGGTGTTCGCATATTAACCAACATGGACATCATCCTGGGGGAACATGTTCTGCACCCCTTCTTTCTGTTGGAATAACTAACAGACATTTCACAGAAGACCTTTAGCTTTCATTTCAAATGTACTTTCACTAACGACGACAAATTCT